CCACAACGCCGCGAGTTTTGCTTCACGTCGGCCAGTGCGCTGGCGCCGACTTAAGTCCCACCTTTCCTCGCCCGTGATTGGGTGGTTTGGAGAGTTTATTTCCGGATTCACCTCGTTCGTGGTAAAGTGCTGACCTATTCCAGCGAGGGGAGTGGGCGGGGAAAGGAAGCGGCTGCGCGATGACGTCAGGGCCCCCATAGCCTGCTGCAAGTGGCCTTGTGCCTCCGCTTACAGGTGATGTCATCTATTTCAGAGGCTGGGGCCCTCTTCAAAGGATTCCGCCGAACAGAAAAATAACCCTTTTTCTCGAACCTTTTCAAAAAATAGTTTACACGTTGTGAAAGTAAATGGAGCCATACATTTTAAATGTTTGTGATTTTGTTCACGTGTTATACTTAAATATTGTAATTTTCTAGAAAAGCCATTTTCACGCGGAGATCCTAGCTTTTAATTTATTTTTATAATTAAAAAATATGTATTTTAATTAATTTTTTACAGAGAGGAAGGGAGAGGAATAGAGTTAGAAACATCTATGAGAGAGAAACATTGATCAGCTGCCTCTTGCACACCCCCTACTGGGGATGTGCCCACAACCAAGGTACATGCCCTTGATTGGAATCGAACCTGGGACCCTTACTCTATCCACTGAGCCAAACCGGTTAGGGCGAGATCCTAGTTTTTTAAAGTTTGCCTTCATTTTATTTAATCCTTGAAGACAACATGTTGAGGTGAGTCCTGTTATTAAATGGTGTGCCCACTAAATATTGGCTGAATGATCGAATATATCTTAGATTCCTCTGAGAAACTTTATGTATGGAAAAATGCACAAACACATTCTCCTTACTGGTACTTTACTGCACAATATCCATATGGTTTGCACAAAACACAGACTGCTCTTGCAAATGTAATTTTTTGGGGTATTTTGTATCTTTTTTTCCTTTTTCTTCAAATGTAATTTCTAACAAAGGAATCCTGTAAGATGCCTGGACTTCGGCTATTGTTGCAGTGTTATGTGGATGATACCCTTAACATCAACTTTTTAAAGAAGACTGCAATTCTGTTCTGGTATCTTTTAAAATAATTTGTTGCTTAGGTACTAATATTAAATTGACATCTATTTTCTGGAATCTATATGTATAAAAGCCTAAGTGACTGAACAACTGGTTGACCGGTTGCTATGATGTGCATTGACCACCAGGGGGCCAGTGTGCTCCCACAGCGGCAGCGCCACTCAGCTGACCGTTGGGCACCAGATGCAAGGCTCACAGCTGGCCACCACTGCCTGGAGACCGCAGCAGAGCAGCAGTGAGCCTACTGAGCGGTGCAGTAGCAGGTGCAGTGGGGCCCAGATGAGCAGGAGTGGCAGGCAGGAGGGCAGGTGATGTTGAACTGCTGGTTTCAGCCTGATCCTCACAGGCTATGCCAAGGAACCCACCCGTACACAAATCCATGCACCGGGCCATTAGTGTATAAATAATGATTTAAAATATATATATATTTTTTATTGATTTTTTACAGAGAGGAAGGGAGAGAAATAGAGAGCTAGAAACATCAATGAGAGAGAGAGACATCGAACAGCTGCTTCCTGCACACCCCCTACTGGAGATGTGCCCGCAACCAAGGTACATGCCCTTGACTGGAATCGAACCCGGGACTTTTCAGTCCCCAGGCCGATGCTCTATCCACTGAGCCAAACCAATTTTGGCTGATTTATTCTTTCATTCAACAAATAGAAATTGTATGCCAGAGAGTCTACATATATTGATTCATTTGATTGGCATAAAACCCTATGAGGTAGTCACTATTATTACAAGCATTTTACAGATGAGAGCATTGAAGGTCAGGAAGAAACATGCTCAAGGTCAAAGGGATAGGAAGTGATACAGAGTGCAATGGATGGAAGGTGGAGCTGTGCCTGGCGTGTTTGAGGAAAAGCAAGAAGGCCAGGAGGCCTTAAGCCAGTGTTTCCCAAAGTGTGGTACGCGTACCCCCAGGGGTACGGGAAGAGTTCAGTGGGGGTACACATTGCACCGGAGTTTGGTGGGGATATGCACTGCACCGTGCTTAGCTGAACCTAATTCTACATTCTCATGAGTACGGGGGGTACTCAGCGTTATGAAAATTATAGAAGGGGTACACATATGTCAAAAGTTTGGGAAACACTGCACTTAAGTAATGAGGTAAGTGATGGATATGAGGTGAGGAAGTAACTCACAGCTTTGACCTTACAAATGAGGCACTTCTCAAAAGTTATACTGTAAGCTCAAGCAGAACCAAGATTGTAACTGAAATCCTGCTCTGCACAGTCACCTGGAACCAGTCTACAGGTATCTGTAATTTTATTATTCCTGTCATCTCCTCTAAATTCGTCAAGTTCCCATTTCATATATATATATATATTTATTTATTTATTTATATTTATATTTCAGAGAGAGAGGGAAAGATAGAAACATCAATGATGAGAGAGAATCAATTGGCTGGCAACTGCATTCCCCCTACTAGGGATTGAGCCCGCAACCTGGGCATGTGCCCTTGACCAGAATCGAACCAAGGACCCTTCAGTCTGCAGGCTGATGCTCTATCCACTGATCCAAACCAGCTTGGGCAAGTACCCATGGTTTTATGATTGAAGGTCTATGAGGTTAATGACAGAGACTGTGAGATGAATGATGATGAATTCTTCAAGGTGAGTTATGGGGATTTTTTTAATACTATATAATAAAGAGTTAATATGCAAATTGACTGTCACTTTCCAGGGGTCCTCAAACTTTTTAAAGTGGGGGCCAGATCACGGTCCCTCAGAGAGCTGGAGGGCCGGACTATATGAACTACTATATAATTCCTACTGTAACACCTCGGCTGCGCTCACTGCCCAAAAAACCTGGCGGGCCGGATCAGACTCCTCTGCGGGCAGCATGTGGCCCGCGGGCCGTAGTTTGAAGACGCCTGCAACACACAAGATGGTCGCCCCCATGTGGTCAAAGATGGTCAACTGTGGGCCATCAGGCCAGCAGGGAAGGGCAGTTAGGGGCAATAGGGACTGCAGGGGAGGACAGTTGGGGTCGACTGGACAGGCAAAGGAGGGCAGTTGGGGTTGATTGGGCTGGCAGGGGAGTGGTTAGAGGGCGATCAGGCTGGCAGGCAAGTGAGCAGTTGGGAGCCAGCAATCTTGGGTTGTGAGAGGGATCCCAGACTGGAGAAGGTATAGGCTGGGCTGAGGGACACCCCACCCCCAGTGCACAAATTTATATATAATATATAATAAACATATATTAGTTATTTAAGATATGTTTATAGATTTCAGAGAACGGAGTGGGAAAGTAGAAACATCAGCGATTAGAGAGAATCATTGATTGGCTGCCTCCTGCACACCACACACTGGGGATCGAGCTCGCAACCCAGGCATGTCCTTGGTAGGAACTGAACCCGGGTCTCTTCAGTCCACAGGCTGACACTCTATCCACTGAGCCAAACCACCTAGGGCAGTTATGGGGATTTTAAAGAGTGGGTGATGGGACCTAACCGGTTTGGCTCAGTGGATAGAGCATCAGCCTGCAGACTAAAGAGTCCCAGGTTCGATTCCGGTTAAGGGCATGTACCTTGGTTGCGGGCACATCCCCAGTAGGGGGCGTGCAAGAGGCAGCTGGTCGATGTGCCCCTCTCTTCGATGTTTCTAGCTAGCTCTCTATCCTTCTCCCTTCCTCTCTGTAAAAAATCAATAAAATGTATATTTTTAAAAAAAGAGTGGGTGATGGGGCATCTGTAGAGTGATGAAAGGCCAATAGGGTAAATGATAGGGTTCTGAGTGATATGTGATGAGGAGGATCTAGCAGGCATCTTCAAACTAAGGCCCGTGGGCCACATGCTGCCCGCAGAGGAGTCTGATCCGGCCCGCCAGGTTTTTTGGGCAGTGAGCACAGCCGAGGTGTTACAGTAGGAATTAGTAGTTCATATAGTCCGGCCCTCCAGCTCTCTGAGGGACCGTGATCTGGCCCCCACTTTAAAAAGTTTGAGGACCCCTGATAGGATGAGTCATGGGGTTTCTGGGTACATGATGAGAGGTCTGTTGGGGCAAGTGATAGGTCCATGGTGCGATAGAGGTCTGTGAGTGATAAGAGATCAGTCTATAGGGTAAATGAAAGGCTGTTGTGGGGCCCTCACTGGTCTGGTCGGTTGGCCTGTGGACTGAAGGGTCCCAGGTTCGATTCCGGTCAAGGGCATGTACCTTGGTTGCAGGCACATCCCCAATAGGGGGTGTGCAAGAGGCAGCTGATCGATGTCTCTCTCTCATTGGTTTCTAACTCTCTATCCCTCTCCCTTCCTCTCCATAAAAAATCAATAAAATATATATATAAAAAAAGGCTGTTATGGGGAGAGTGATAGGTGTCTTAAGGGGTAATGATGGGGTATATAGGGTAAGTGGTGGGAGGGTCTGTGGGGATGAGTTTTGTGGGGTCACGGGTAAATGATGGGGATCTGTAGAGTAGTGATGGGTGTCTGTGGGGTCAGTGTTGGGTTTTTGGAGTACGTGGGGGGGGTCTGTGAGTTGAGTGATGGGGTTTCTGTGGGATGCTTAATCAGGAGACACGAGGCTGAGTAAATTGAAGAACTTGAAGATTTGGGAAATCCTCAGCTTATCCCTATTGCAAACAATGAGCAAGCGTGTTCTGGAGAGAACACCAGGATGTGGGGTTCTCTCCTTATAAGAGATTGCGGGTGTGTGACTCATGAATCTCATCAGCCACCATGGGACTTTCTGGAGTTAGTGATGGGGGTCTGTGACGTCTACACGACTGAAGGTCTGTGTGACGGGGATGGGAATCTATGGCTGAGATAATGGTGTCTGTGGAATGAGTGAGTGAGAGGTGTCTTTGGGGTCAGTAACTCAAGATCTTTCAGGGTTAGGGTCATGACCTTTTATTTCCTTGTTTCAAAAATTACCACCACTGCAGACCTTGTGGGTTCTCTTGGACTTCTGTCCCAACAGCATTTTGCAATAGCCCCATGGCTGGCCCTTTTGGTGCCCGCCCATCATCCTGAGCTTGACAGATCAATTCACTTTTTTATTCCCACCTGTGGGAGCAAGGAACAGGCTCCCCTGGCAGATGGAGAGTTCGTCATCAGCCCGTGGGGAAGCCCAGTCCATCACGCATTACTTCTGCTTGCTCTTCATTTTTGTGGCTTTGACATCCACCATGCTCTGGGCGTGCATGAGCTGCTGCACAGAATCGAGCACGAGGATTCCAGGCAGCAGAATCCACAGGGCATTCAGGAAGACAAAGTAGAACCAGAAGTAGAGGGGGTGGCCCAGCTCGCTGTGCTTGAATCCGTCACGGTACTCGGTCAGGAAGTAAAGCACATCCCCGTACATCTGACCTGTGGGAGGAGGAAGGGAGAGGTGAGGAGGAGGAGCCATTGCAAGGCATTTTCCAAGTCATCGTTTGAGGTCTCAGTCCTTAGGACTCCCAAATCCAGAGAGCTAAACACTCTGAAATCCTAGAGCTAATAAGTTGAGAAATCAGAAAAGTGAGAATTCCAGAAATTGGAAGTTGAGAATTTCAGAACCCGGGAGAGCTCATATCGCCAGAATGTTAGGAAGCTCAAAGTCCTTCCATTCAAGACAGCTGAGGATTCCAGGACTAAAGATAACCCGCCATTTCTTGGACTAAAGAAAGCTATTAACATAAGAACACTGGATCTTAGGTGAAAGAGCTGGAAATCCTAAGCTTTCAGGAAGGATCCAAGGACTTCCTGCCAGCGTGGGCCACCTCATGTAACCTTCACAGGAGACTGTTTAAAAAAAAAAAAAAAATTATTGATTTTTTACAGAGAGGAAGAGAGAGGGACAGAGAGTTAGAAACATCGATGAGGGAGAATCAACAATTGACTGCCTCTTGCACACCTCCTACTGGGGATGTGCCCGCAACCAAGGTGCATGCTCTTGACCGGAATCGAACCTGGGACCTTTCGGTCCACAGGCTGACTCTCTATCCACTGAGCCAAACCGGGTTCAGCTTAAAACATTAAAAAAAAAAACATATTTTTATTGATTTCAGAGAGGAAGGGAGAGGGAGAGAGAGACAGAAACATCAACGATGAGAGAGAATCATTGATCGGCTGCTTCCTGCATGACCCACACTAGGGATCTAGCCTGCAATCCCGGCATGTGCCCTGACCGGGAATCAAATCGTGACCATCTTCACAGGAGACTTTGTGATGGAGGAGGAAGAGAAATGAACATGTCGCACTTGAGAACACAGGCTGAGAGGGGCATAGCTGTTCTAGAACCTCAGGGAATTTATCATTCGATCTGACTCAGCCCTGGGTGGGCACAATTGAGAGATCCTACCCACACGGATGCCCCCATATCCTCGCGTCCCTGATAATCCCTCCAGCACCAGTGTGGGCTCTCTTCTCACCTGCAGAGATCACGAGCTGTAGGATAAAGCGGGCAGGATGCTGGCGAAGAAAGGCAATCACCGCGCAAATGCTGAGCGGTCCCCACAGGAAAGCCGTGATGGTCTCCATGCATATCATGAAGTTGTCATTCCTGCAGGAGAAAGGGTGAGGCGACACTGGGATCACTGTGCTCGAAGCTCAGGGAGTCCCGTTAGTGCTCCCTGACTCACCCCCCCCAAACCCATTCAGGTCTCCCTTGACAGAGGCATACACTTACAGGATGTAACGGCTGTCTCCCTTGGAATACTCTTTCCCTGCAGAAGACAAGAGACACACGTGATGAATAAAGGCAGGAAAAGAAACTCGTACGTAGGAGAGCGGAGGGCCCATGGAGTAAGGCAGGCTTCATAACCTCTCCCTGCCTCTGACTCCTCCTCTGCAATGAGGATTTTAGAGTTAATATATGTATGCAAGACATGTGGGCAAACCTGACATGGAACAGTGAGTGCTGCTGTGATTGTCTGGCATTCCATAAATATCTGTAGAATAATGGAGGCAGGTATAGATGATGAAGTGAATGACGTAGCCAATGAGAGAGAGAGAGAGAGAGAGAGAGAGAGAGAGAGAGAGAGAGAGAGAGAGAGCGCGCGCGAGAGAGAGAGAGAAAAGAAGAAGAAGAAGAAGAAGAAGAAGAAGAAGAAGAAGAAGAAGAAGAAGAAGAAGAAGAAGGAGGAGGAGGAGAAGGAGAAGAAGAAGTAGTAGTGAAGGAGGAGGAGGAAGGGGGAGGAGAGAAAGGGAAAGAGGGAGGGAGGGAAGGAGGAAGGGACTGAGAAAGAGAAAGTGAACAGATGAATGAATGAAAACACAAGCAGAGAATCAATAAGAAAAGGCAGATCACATGACATAAAAACAGGCAGGAGACTGGAGTAGGTTCTTCACCAAAGAGGATTTCCAGATGGTCAATACACCAATGAAAAGTGCTCAGACTTACATTTATCATTAAGTAAAAGCAAATCAAAACCCCAGAATGAGAGAGTACTCACATCCACTAGAATAGGGGTGTCGAACTCAATCAGAGAAGGGGCCAAAATCTAAAATCCAGCCTAAATTGCGGGCCGAATGGTTTACTGAACAGTCATAAACTGTCATTGTGATGGAAACACAGCGGAGTGCAGTGATGACAGCGTGGTGCGGGCCACATTGCAAGGCCTGGCGGGACGGATTTGGCCCGCGGGCCTTGTGTTTGACACATGTGCACTAGAAGGTCTACAATTTAAGAAACACCCGACCATACCAAGTGAATATGTATATACTGCTGGTGGGAATATAAAATGATGCAGCAGTTTTTCATAAAGTTAAACACACATCTACCATACAACCCAGCCACTCCTCCATATTTACCTGAGAGAAATGAAAGCAGAGCCCCACACAAAGATTCTTATAACAATGTTCATAGCCGTTTTATTCATGAGACCACAAGGAGTATTACTTATAACAGCAAAATACTGGAGGAAATGATACTAGACAAGCCAAGCCTGGCTGGTGTGGCTCAGTGGTTGAGCATGGACCTATGAACCTGGAGGTCACACAGTTCGATTCCTGGTCAGGGCATATGCCTGGGTTGTGGGCTCCATCCCCAGTTCAGGATGTGCAGGAGGCAGTCAATCCATGATTCTCTCTCATCATTTATTTATTTTTTCTCTCTCCCTGTTCCTCTCTGAAATTAATAAAAATATATTTAAAAAATCCTGGACAGTCAAATAATTATGTAACACTTAAGCTTTGAAAGCTCTTTAAGAGCTGATGAGGAGTGACCTGATTAAAAAAAGCAAAGTTTAGCCAAAACCGGTTTGGCTCAGGATAGAGTGTCAGCCTGTGGACTGAAAGGTCCCAGGTTCGATTCCGGTCAGAGGCATGCACATTGGTTGCGGGCACATCCCTGGTGTGGGGTGTGCAGGAGGCAGCTGGTCTATGTCTCTCTCTCATCGATGTTTCTAGCTCTCTATCTCTCTCCTCTCCCTTCTTCTCTGTAAAAAATCAATAAAATATATATATATTCTAAAAAGCAAAGTTCAGAAGTGTATATAGCATGTTTCCATTTGTTTATATAAAAGGGAAAAATGGTGATAATAAAATTATATAGCATCTGTTGTCTGCCTAATAATAATAATAAAGTTATATGGCTTGCCAAACATTGTTCTAAATGCCTTACATATATTTGGGTATTACTATCATACTTCTTTTACAATTAAGAAAACTGAGGCCAAAGCTGGTTTGGCTCAGTAGATAGAGCGTCGGCCTGTGGACTGAGGGGTCCCAGGTTTGATTACGGTCAAGAGCGTATACCTTGGTAGCGGGCACATCCCCAGTAGGGGGTGTGCAGGAGGCAGCTGATCGATGTTTCTAACTCTCTATCTCTCTACCTTCCTCTCTTTAAAAAAATCAACAAAATATATATCAAAAAAAACCCCTGAGACTTCTGTGTATAATTTATGTGTAAATAAACCCTGGAAGAAAACAAGCAATTGTTAACACTGGTTAATAATTGAGGAAACTTGGTGGACAGGAGGTAGATTTTCACTTCATGCTTCTTTTTATTATTTGTTAAACTGCACCTGGTGATATATTTTCCACTGCTTTTCAGAGAGAGTGGGAGGGAGGGAAGAAGATGGGAGAAACATCAATGTGAGAGAGACACATCAATTGGTCTCCTGCATGCACCCCAACCAGGGTGGGGTACTGAACCTGCAACCCAGGTTTGTGCCCTTGACCTGGAACGGAACCTCAACCCTTTGATGCACAGGCCGATGCTCTAACCACTGAACCATGCTGGTCAGGGCACACTGCATACCTCTTTATTATTTATTTATGTCATATATTTTTATTGATTTCAGAGAGGAAGGGAGAGAAACATCAATGACGAGAGAGAAGCATTGATCAGCTGCCTCCTGCACGCCCACACTGGGATTTGAGCCCACAACCCAGGCACATGCCCTGACCGGGAATCGAACTGTGACCGCCTGATTCATAGCTGAACACTCAACCACTGAGCCACACTGGCCAGGCTGCATACTTCTTTTTTTTTTAAGTCAGTCAAGTGTGGTTGTGTGGAGAGAGACAATGTTAATCAGCTTAACAATAACCCACAACCTTCCGACCAACTGCATACCTCTTTTATTTTATTTATTTTAATTTTATCTTTTAAAAATATATTTTATTGATTTTTTACAGAGAAGAAGGGAGAGCGATAGAAAGCTAGAAACGTTGATGAAAGAGAAACATCGACCAGCTGCCTCTTGCACACCCCCTACTGGGGATGTGCCTGCAACCAACGTACATGCCCCTGACCGGAATCGAACCTGGGACCTTTCAGTCCGCAGACCGACGCTCTACCGCTGAGCCAAACTGGTTTTGGCTTTTTTAAATTGTTTGTTTTTTGACCCATATGAATATATATGCGACAGTTAAATAAAATTTTAAAATAAACGAATAGAAGAAAAGTTGTGCCGAAACCGGTTTGGCTCAGTGGTAGAGCGTAGGTCTGAGGACTGAAAGGTCCCAGGTTCGATTCCGGTCAGGGGCATGTACGTTGGTTGCGGGCACATCCCCAGTAGGGGGTGTGCAAGAGGCAGCTGGTCGATGTTTCTCTCTCATCGACGTTTCTAACTCTCTATCTCTCTCCCTTCCTCTCTGTAAAGAAATCAATAAAATACATTAAAAAAAAAGAAAAAAAAGAAAGAAAATTTGTTAGCCAACCCCTGCCCCCAAAATTCCCTCCCACAGCGTATGAAAGAACTCAGGACTCACAGAGCTGGGACAAGAAGGCTTGGTCTCCAAGAAGCTCCTTGCTGTAGAGGCTGAACCAGCCCTCGATCACCATGTGAATGAACCCACACACTGCAAACCAGCACAGTGACAGGCGTCGCCAGATTCCCAGGGGGACGATGGCATTAGGTCCTGACAACAGCCATGTGGTCCCAACTACGACCCCAGTGGCAGAGAAGAGGCCAGCTACGATGTGCCAGGCAGGGTAGTCGTTAGGCACATAGTTGTCCAGTTTCAGGTGCCGAGGCCAGTATGGGTGCAGGGGGCTAGCACTGGCGGCCATGTCTTCGCAGGCTGATGGCTGTGTGTGGATAAGCAGAAAGAAGAAAAAAGGAAGAGAAAAACCTGAACAAATAGAAAGCACAGAATGAGATCATCAATCACATCCAATCCAAATGGCTTATGATCACAAAAAACGCAAATGGACTATATTGATGTTACTAGACTCGTAAAACTGGCTCAAACCCCAACATGGAATCGTATGCTGCTTTAAGGCCACAGAAAGAACGGAAACCTGTTCCAGCCCTGTGGGACCCACAGGTGGTAAACAGCACCCAGACCAGCTCCCTGCCCTCAGGGTCAGAGTCAGCCAGGGAAGACAGGAATCGGGACGCTCCCTGCTCTCATTGGTCACCGTCGGTGGGCAGACAGAAGACTCTGACTGGGTCATAGCCCTCGTTGGTCACACCCAGCTTAGGTTAGACACAGGAACCGAGCTCGGTCCGTGCCCTCGGGGGTCCCAGGTTGCTGGGAGGAGAAACAGACCACAGGTAGGTTCCCACGGCTGGAGTCACAGCGGAGAGCTAGCCCTTCTCTGTAGCCCTGGGAACCGCGGGACAGACGAGACGACACTTACGAGAACGACCACCCTCGGGAGCAGCGTGCGGAGAGTCAAACGCCGCCTCCCGCAACCGCGCACACCGTCCGCAACCTGCAGGGAACCGGCGAGTGGAAGGTACCGGTCCCCGCGGCGCTTCGAGGGGAGGAGGAGGGATCAATGCAGAGACCACCAATCAGAACTCGACCCTCTAGTCCAGCTGCCCAATGAGAAGGAGGATCTGCGGTAGCCGGGGCGACGACGCGGTACCGGGGGTCTCGCGCAGGCGCGTGGGGTACGTGGCGCGCTGGCGGGCTGCAGGGGGAAAGGGGGCTCGCGCAGGCGCGCCCGCGGCGGCCGTTGGGCGGCGGAGAGCGACGGGATGGAGCGGCCGGCGGGGCGGGGGGGGGAGCACTCACCCGGCGGCGCTGTCTCCGCAACCTGTCCGGCAGGGTCCCCGGCTCCGCTGAGCTGGCCTGCGGCTCCGCGACGAGCTAGTTCAGACCCATTGCCCCACCAGTTCCTCGTCTTATGGAGTTGGCCAATGGAGGGGCTGGGAGGCGGCCAGCGCCACACCCAACCAATCAGAGCCCTCTGTGCGCCCCCGGCCCCGCCCTCAGGCGTGGTGCCACTTTCGTTGTTGGCTGAGCCAGGAGTGTGGAGGTGGGTGAAGGCAGGGAGTGCTCCGGTTGGTGGGCGTTTTCCACCGAAACCGACTTGCAAGAGGTCTTGGCTTCGGTTTCCCTATTCTCTGATCAGGCAGCGTTGAATCAGCATTGCATTGTGTCCTGTCTTCCTTGCCCTCCTTTTCTAATCAGACCGCTGAATCCGTTGCCAGACCAGACCTGCATTGTTGTTTTTTTACAAAGTACGTTCTTACTGATTTTTAGAGAGAGTGGGAGGAAGAGGGTTGGAGATAGAAACATAGAAGAGAAACATCATCCACTGGCTGTCTCCTGCACGCCCCCTACTCCGGATGGAGCTGCAACTCGGGCATGTGATCTTGACCGGAATCGAATCAGGGACCCTTCAGTTCGCAGGCTGATGCTCTATGCAATGAGCGAAACCGGCTAAGGCCAAAAGCCTTCATTTTTTATTGCCCGAATGAAACAATATTATGAGCACATCCTGTTAACTACACCTCTGTCCTCTACCTCAGCGCTCAGGACTCCTTAGCGGTGGTCATCCTCACCTCTCTCGACTTCAGGTCAGAGATGCCAATCAAAACACCTTGAGAGCCTATTGGCACGGAGATACTCAATCTCCCCGTGGCAGCTCTACTGAACCACATTGAACTCCACAGTTCTAAGCCAGTGAGCACCCAGACTGCACAGTCAGAATCCAGACCCATCCCAAACCTCCTGTCCAATTACAGCTCATAACCCTCAGTCCTAAGGATCAGTAAGCATCACCTGTGTGTATATATATATACTAGAGGCCCAGTGTATGACATTCGTGAAGTGGGGAGGTGGGGGTGGGGAGTCGGGGTCCCTCAGACCAGCTTGCGCCCTCTCTCGCAGTTCAGATCTCTCAGGGGATGTCCACCTCCAGCTCCTGCCACGGCTGCTGGAGCCCAGCTTCTGGCTGAGCAGCACTCCCCCTGTGGGAGCGCACTGACCACCAGGGGGCAGCAACTGCCCTGAGCGTCTGCCCCCTGGGGGTCAGTGCACATCATAGCGACCAGACATTCCATTGTTTGGTTGATTTGCATAGTAGCCTTTTATTATATAGGATATACTAGAGGCCTGGTGCATGGATTTGGGTACCGATGGGGTCCCTTGGCCTGGCCTGTGGGGGTTGGGCTGAAACCAGCTCTAGGACATCCCCTAAGCCTTAGGGGATCCTGGATTTCAAGAGGGCAGTTCTGCCAAAACTGGTTTGGCTCAGTGGTAGAGCGTCGGTTCAATTCCGGTCAAGGGCATGTATGTTGGTTGCGGGCACATCCCCAGTAGGGGGTGTGCAAGAGGCAGCTGGTCGATGTTTCTCTCTCATTGACGCTTCTAGTTCTCTATCTCTCTCCCTTCCTCTCTGTAAAAAATCAATAAAAAAAAAAAAAAGGGCAGTTCTCAGGTGACACATTCCGGAATCGGGCTCCCTCCTGTCTGGTTCCAGCGGTTATCTGAGAACTGCTGCTGCCAAGCGACCACAGCTCAGCAGCTCCTGCTTTGAGCATCTGCCCTCTGGTGGTCAGTGTGCATCATAGCAACTGGCCAGTAGGCTGGTTACTTAGGCTTTTATATATGTAGATATATATCAGAGAGAGGGAGAGTTAGAAACATCAATGATGAGATAGAATCATTGATCGGCTGCCTCCTGTATGCCCCACACTGGCGATCAAGCTGCAACTGGGCATGTGTCTTGACCAGGAATCGAACTGTGACCTCCTGATTCATAGGTTGATTCTCAACCACTGAGCCATGTTGGCCAGACTCAACGGTGTCTTGCTTTCTTTTTTCTCTGTCCCAGTTAGAGTAACCAGTCAGTTTTCCTGCCAGTTGATATCAGGCCTCCCACACACACAACTAATTTGTCCCAGCCCTGCTTATATCAGGCCGTGCCATCTTCTGTCTCAACATCTAATCATGAACCATGAACTGATCACAAGCTGTTCCCTCTTCATGGTTTCAGCTTCCAAACCTTTATCCACGCTGTGCCCCCTTCCTCACTCACTTCTACTCCCCACTAAGCAGTGAAGAAAGAGTCTTTTGTATATTTCCTACTTTTATTTGACAATAACAAACTGTATATAAAAAGGGAGTGGGAAGGCGGGAAGGCTGTGATCTCCCCCTCTCTGCTTCCCTAAGTACCCCCCATCCCTTGGCCCCGCAGGGACCACCCCCTTCCCGCCTTATGGTGGGGTGGGGATCAGCAGGCATGAAAATGGTGTGTGTGTGTGTGTGTGTGTGTGTAAGAATGTTAGGGGGACTATGATGGACGGGGTGAAGAATTAGAGGGCCCTCCCTCATCCTCCATCAGAGCTGGCTCCCTGAGGAGGGTTGAGTCTTGAGGGAAGTTGGAGGGTCCACAGATGTGCCTCAGCCTATGAGACGGTAGAAGATCCAGCATCCAAAAGTGACCCAGTGACTGGCCCAGCTGAGCTCTGACCACTTGTGGACAGTGTATGCCATGCCATAACCCTGTGGGAGAGAAAGAAGTGATGGTCCCACTCAGCAAGAACAAAGAAGGTCTCAGGAAAACCCATCTTTTGCTCAAGGCCATTTCTGTGACTCCATGGTGACCTTAGGTGAGGCCCCAGAGAAAAAACTGGGTGATATAAAAGATAAACAGGTTTAGTTTTATTTCTTTTGTGTTTTCTTCTTCAACCCCACTCTCTGACCTGTACTCTCCTTCATATGTAAAGAGCTCCTAGAAATCAATATTTTAAAAAGACAAAAATTGGCAAAGGAGGTGAGTAGACCGTTCTCCATAAAGGAGAAAACCAAATAGCTCTTAAATGTATGGCCTCACTCACAATCTTCCTCCTCTCAAACTGGCAAACACATCCAGGAAGTCTGAGAGGCACTCTGTTGGTGGAGGGACAGACATGTTCACACACTGCTGGTGGGAGAGCAAAAAGGTAACTTCTCCATTTTGACTACCAAAAATCAATCCTACAGCTCTGTCTGCACCTGTGTGACTCTACATGGGTATGAGGCTCTTACTTGCTGCAATGTGATTTGCAATAGGAAAAGACTGGAAATCACCTGGGTGTCCACGGATAAGGGACAGACTACCCTATATCATAGCCTTACAATGGAAAAAAGTGAGTGAGGACACTCTATGTACTGAGGTGGAAGATTTTCAAGGATCATCATATAGAAAAGCAACATGTAGTGCACACTTCATCCATGAGTTACCTTTAGGGTCAAAACCAGGGGAGGGAATTAAAAGATGCTTTTATATTCGCTTATTATACTTACATTTTTGAAAGGTATTTTAATAAAATGAAGGAAAGTGGTTACCTGGAAGAGGGCAGTGAGTAGACCGTAGGAGGAAGACTTTCCCCTGCATATCTTAAATACTGTTTGTTTGTTTTTAACTTTGTGATATACATGAACTATTTTTAAATGTTTTGATTAAAACAAGATAAAAACTTTATTTAAAAAAAAGGCAAAAACCTGCCCTGGCCGGTGTGCATAGTGGTTAGAACATTGGCCCGCACACCGAAGGGTCTCAGGTTTGATTCCTGGTCAAGGGCACATACCTGAGTTGCAGGTTCATGCTCCACCCCCTGATCCGGGTGTGTGTGGTAGGCAGCTAGTTAATGTATCTCTCTCACATCAATGTTTCTCTCTCTCTCCCTCTCTCTCTCTTTCTCTCTCTTTCCCTTCCTTCCCTCCCTCCCTCCCTTCTACTCTCTTTGAAAAGCAACAACAAAAAGGAACCCCCAAAATAAGAAGAAGCAAAACCCAGATTTTGCACACTCAACCTGATTAGAAATTAAAAGCTGTTTTTAATGATGAAAATAATATAAAGTTTTATTTTTAGTTAAAAACAAAAATGCAAAAGAGAAGCAAAGCCTGGATCCTGCAAGAGCTATGTGAGCAAACATTATTTTAGAAATTGTTTTGAATTTAAAATCTGGAATGTGCATACTCCACATGAATAAAAATAGCCTATCCATTTTAATAGCAATTTTAAAAGTAGAGTCTAGAGTTTGCATAATTCACTTGAGTGAAGATTAAAAAAAAAAAAAAAATTAAAGAATAAACCTTGCGGATTTGACCTAAACAAAAATAGGATAAAATGACTCATTGGAAAAAAAAAAAAAAAAAAAAAAAAAAAAAAAAAAAAAAAAAAAAGGAAAACCTGTATTTTGCATTCCATCTCTATAAAATAAGTAAAATAAAATAGATTTTGCAAACTCCACCCAAAGAAAAGACCCAGCAGTGCCCGCAGGGACAACGGGAGGGAAGGACCGAGGAGCACTAGCTGCACAAAGGAGAGACACACCACACAAGGCCTTATGTCTCGGCCTCCCCGCCCCCCTTTCATCTTCATGGTTCCCATGAGCAGGTGGCACATCCCTGGGTTCCCCCAGCCCAGGGCCCCACCTCACCTGCTCCTCTGTGGTATCATCCACATCGACATCAAACAGGGAGCCCAGGTAGGCCAGGTGGAAGATGGCCAGGGCCCCAAAGAGCAGGTTTAAGGCTCGTACCCCCAGGCCCTGTGGGGGACAGATGGATTTGCTTGGCAGCTGGACCTACTTGCTGTCCCTCAGTGCCACCTGGGCACGGGAGCCCAGGGAGATGCACCAAGTGCAGTGGGTTCCAGGCATGAGGATGTCCATGGTACCCCCGGGTAGGAACGAGATGGTTCAGGTCCTCCTACGGGAGCCCAAAAGGTCCCCAGGGCTCAGGGTACTGTTTGCATGGAGGGCGTCCAGGTTGGGGGAGATGCGAGTGTTCAGGCAAAGGAGGCAGAATAGTGGAGCTCTGACTTGGGGGTTTATGGGAAGAAACATCAGTTGTCTGATAGGAGACAAAGCTGAGGTTGTCCATACTTCTTATTGCAAACAGAAGGAAAAAAAGAAAAAGAAAAAATCAAAATTCCTAGTATGTCCTACAGGTCCCATAGTTCTCCCCCTCGCTCGCTTTGCTCAAGCCACACTGGCCTCCTCGCTGTTCCTCAGATATTCCAGGCCTTCTCCCGTCTTGGGGCCTTGACATTGTTTCTTCCCTTTGCCTGGAATGCTTCTGGCCCTCACCTCCCTCAGCTGAGGGACTCAAAAGGCATCTCCCTATGCAAGATGGAATCCATTCGCCCCCTGATCATTCCCTTCTCCTTTCCCTTGTGCATTTCCTCCTTGGCACTAATCACCACCTGATAGACTCTTACACCTCGCTGACTTATTGTTTATTTACTGACTCCCCTGTTAACATGTGTGCCCAGAGGGCTGGCACTTCATAGTCTGTTGGTCACCACTGTGTCTCCAGCATCTAAAATAGCGCCTGGTAACAGCAGGTGTTCAATATGTGTTCCCTGGGGACATGAATGCCCGGTGTGCATACAGCAGGTGCTTGATAAGTGTTTGTTAGAGAGACGCATGGCAGTGAACGGAGGTGAAGTTCTGGGATGGCTCAGGCACCAGAACAGGAAGCTGGGCACCCTGAGGCACATATAAGATGGAGACGGAAGCAACGTTTTTGAGGGGGAGTGTTGGGCTTGAGGTTGCCCAGGCTGAACCCTCACCAAGCGATGCTGGTGCGAACAGTCTGGCGGGCACCGTTTCGACAAGACGCAGGCACTGAGGATCCGAGCCAGGCGTTTCCGGAGGACTGGGGGAGATGAGGGGAGGAAAAGGGGGTCAGGGTAGCTTCAGGGGACAGTGGTTCTAGCCCCCCAGCAACCTCCCATCCTGTCTCCTAGGCTGGGCTCCCAACTCACCGTGCTCCACGTAAGTGATAAATGCCAGCGACAGCAGTACCGCAGCCAGATGGAAGCTGAAGCCCTGGTGGGGCCCCAGGGGGCAAGGAGGTGAGTGAGGAGAAGGCCCTGCCACCCCCACCCAGCTCCCACCCTGACCCCCATCCCCTACTCACGTGCAGGAGGGCACTGGCTGCGTAGGTGACCAGCACGGCTGAGAAGGTGCCCAGGCGGAGAGCATTCTTGAAAACATCTGGAAGAGGGAGATGCGGGTCAAGAGTCACCCAAGATTCTCTCCTGCCCTGGGGGCGGGGGGGCATTGAGCAGGGTGAGGATGTGCTGGAAGGCCTGGGATAAAGTCTGTGTAATGGTCTCCCTCTTCCTCTGTCCAAATCTTAGCTCCTGAACTTCCCTCCAGTCTGTTTCTCCCACAGCCTGTCCAAGTTCAGCCAATGTCAATCAACTCCCCCGGTCCAGTTCCTCAGGGCATAAACCTGAGAATCCCCCTTAATCTGCCCTGCCCTCACTCCCACAGCCAAACTCAGCAATCCTAGGAGTGTCACCATCAGAATTTACCCGGAGTCTGACCTCTCCTCGCCAATGCCCACTGCCTCCACCACCCGGACTACCGCCCTGGCCTCCTCACTGCTTCCGCCTGGCTCCCTCCCCCCATCTGTCCTCACAGCAGCCAGAGGGTCCTGTTACACCCAAGTCAGCCCAAAGCCCTCCTCTGCTCAGACCCCTGCTGTGGCTCCAGCTCTTTGTGACAAGGCCAAAGGCCTCCCGTGGCCAGTGAGGGCCCACAGGCCCAGGCCCCCGTCACCTCTCCAACCTCACCTCCTGCTACTGGTCCTCTTGCTCTCTTTCCTTCTGCCAAACTGGTCTCCTCAAACACGTCAGGCACGTTCCTGTCTCAGGACCTTTGCACTGGCTGTTCCCTCCATCTGTTACATCCCTCCCCCACATTTTACAATGCTTGCTCTCTCACCTTATGCAGATCTCGGCTCAAATGTCACCTCCTCCGTGGGACTTATTCTGTTAATGTATTTAAAATTGCAACATCCCGCCCACACTGCCAACACTCCAGATCACCCTTTCCTGCTTGATTATTATTATTTTTCACCATAGCACTTATCACCATCTGAGCTCTTCTGTATTTTTCTCTTTCAAGAAAATCTTTTTATTGATTTCACAGAGGAAGGGAGAGGGAAACAGAGATAGAAACACCAAGGATGAGAGAGAATCATTGGTCGGCTGCCTCCTGCACGCCTCCCTACTGAGGATCAAGCCCGAAGCTGGGACATGTGCCCTGACCGACTTGGAATCGAACTGTGACCTCCTGGTTCATAGGTCGTTGCTCAACCACTGAGCAGCCCCAGCCGGGCCATTACTTCTCTTATGATGTGCTTCCCCCACAAAAATACCAGCTCCACAAGGGCAGGAATTTGGGGCTGGTGTGGTTTTTTGGTCCCTGCACACAATAAGATCTCGATGAATGTTGTATGAGTATGTAAAAGGGCCTGGGGTGAGAGCTCCCCACTCTTGATTGGCGGCTTGATGACTCACAGTTATTGAGCCAATAAGACATGGGCAGGTTCCAGCTTGTGACAACTTGCACCATGGACCGAGGCAGCTCCACGTTCAGTGGCTTGGACACTGTCAGGTCCCTGTGGGCAGAAGGTATACGAATTCACCTGGGATCCCCACTCCTGATGGCCACACATTTGTCTTGGCTGTCTCCTCCCCCGGGAGCACCCCATTCCTCCCTGCGGCTCCTCTAGGCAACACCCCGAAGGAGAGGACGGCCCCCCAGCCCTCCCCACCATTTCAGGTGATCCTTCTCCTCGGTGAAGCCAGCGCCTGCCAACGTGGTCGTGGCCTCGGACAGGAAGCCCACGAAATAGTTGCTGAAGTGGAAGGAGACGGCGCTCTCGTAGGCTCGCAGCCACCTGGGGGGGGGAAGGAGCAGGGGGAGGGGCATCAGGCCCGGGGGGCCGGCGTGCCACCCCACCATGTGCCATCATCCCCAGCCCCACTCTGTAGACTCACCTCACCATGGTGCCCCTAAGGCCCCCGGGGGTCAGGAAGGCAGCAGAGAAGAAAGGAAAGAGAGTCAGAGGCCCAGGAGGCTGGCCTGAGTTGCTCTTAGACAAGACAGAAACACAGTGGCAAAAAACACAGGTGCAGTGTGACAGCCACACACATGCAGACACGGTCAGTTTCATGGGGCTCGGATGGGAGTGTGAGCTGCTCTGCCATACACTATCGTCCCGCAGTCCCACGTGGCCGGGCATCCAGACCCGACTTCTGTCAGAGGCCCATCCTAACGGCCCTACACCATGACATTGCCATGTGGCCAGACGCAAATAGCATCAGACTCCCAGCTCTCTAACCTGACTCGGTGACCATGAGACATACGAAAGTCCTGTAGTTAGGCACAGATCATCAGGCTCCCTGCTACGCACACATACACAAGTCTACCCCCCCCCCCCACATAGTCACTGTCACTCTGTCAATCACACAATTGACACAGGCAAATCCTGCGTTGGCAAAGGCTGCTTCTGGAATCAGGCCTGGGATTGACGCCTGGCTGCTTAACTGGGTGACACTGGGCAAGTCACTCCACCTCCCAGAGCCTCATTCAGCATTAGACACAATCAGCTGCCAGTGAGTAGGGGGGAGGGAGGGGCCATCCGATCTAAGGGCTGGACGGAATCCTAGTTGTACCGGAGGCAGATGGTCAGTCAGTCACAACCCCTTAGCTAGACAACACCATGCAGCCAGAGAAGGCAGACCCACAGGCAGGCCCATCAGAGAGGCACAATGACATGCTACAGTCAGACCCATTCCCAGCCAGAGTGACAGACAAGCCAGACTTACCCAACGACAGCCACACACCCCGTCATTGACAATGGCACAGCCAGAACTCCAGTCCCACATCGGGAGTCAGCGGCTGAGAGACAAACAACCCATACACACGCCTAGCCAGAGTCTCAGACAGGTCAGCGTCACCAGCCAACCCATACTTGTCACTCCCTGTTACAGTCATGTGATTGGCTTCTAAAGGTGAAACAGCGGGACGGATGGACATTCAGACATAGTATGTGTCAGGGAGTCAGTCATACATGGAGTTACAGAGCCAATCTTGGCCAAACAACAGCCACAGACAGACATTCAATCTCGGTCCAGTCATGGGGTGCATGGTCAGATAGTCTCAGACTGAACAGAACCAAGAGGTCACAGACTATGCCCCCAGCCCCCAGTTAGCCCACTCGCCCTCAGCACCTGCCCTCATTTACCTGGCTTTGCGTTTCTTGCTGTAGTAACAGAAGATAGACAGAAGCATTAAGAGACAGGCTCAGAGCTGGGGAGACCCCAGGTCCCTACCCAACCCCCTCTTGCAGGGCAGAGGCCTCGAAGGCCTTGCTCACTTTCGAAGGAGGCGGTCGCCATCGAGGGGGATGAAGTACGGGAAGAGGTAAGGGCCCACACAGGTGGACAGCACAAGGCACAGCAGGGCCAGCGCCAGGCTCCGGGTCACCTTCTGCAGCCACCGGCGGCTCTGTGGGCATCAAGGCTCCATGAAGACTGCCCTGTGGGGGCTCCCACAGTCCCTGCCCACCTGCCCACCCAGGACCTCACCAGAGGGCGACCTTGGACAGCCTGCAGGTAGCTTTGGAAGGATATCCAGGGCCCAAAGACGATGGTGCCCACGAAGTAGAGGTAGCCCATGAACTCCACGGGTGAGGGCACCGCGCCCACCTCGCCCCGGTCCAGGTCGAAGCCCAGGGACACCGCCTTCATGGCCACGATCATCTGGGCCCCTATGTGTGGTGCCCATAATCAAGCAAATGGGCACAGAGCAGGTCAGCATTGGGGGGGGGGGGCGGTGGGGGAAGCACCAGGGAGGGGTGATAGGAAAAGAGAAGTTCAAGGGTGTGCAAGTGGGCACACAGTCTGATAGGCAGATGAGCAGGTAGGCCCAGGACTGGCAGATGCCTTTTTTCAAGAGTCAGGCACATACATGAGATGGGAAAGGCAGATGGGGGCGAGGGGGGTGGCCTAGTAGAGAGAGACAGGTGTAAAGGGCATCTGAGACCTGCATGTCCAGCGGGGTGGAAAAGGAGGGACAAAAGCGGGGAGGGAAGGACATGGTTGGGGGAGTTAGGAGATGCGGAGTGGGGCAGGGGGCTGGGGCAGGTGAGCGAGCCAGGGCCTCCTACCTCGCATCTTGTGCCACGTCACAGTGTCCACCATGTGCATCTCACTGAGGAGAGAAGGTGGTGGTCTTGGGCTCAGAGACCACAAAGGGGGGTGGGGATCAAGGTGCAGAGAGGCTTATACCCCTGTCCAGCACACCCTCCTGGAGGAATAATTCTCCGGGACTCCCTCCTCCAGGGGGAGCCCAAGCTCAGCCTGTCCTGTACAGCCTTTAAAAATAACTCGTCCCCCACACTCCCTCCTCCAGGAACACCCCGTGCTCTTCCTGTCCTGCACAGCCGCCTGAGGAGCAGCCAGGGGACCCACCCACCCGGGACCCACCCACCCGGGACCCACCCACCCTTCTGCCAACAGTGTGGGGGCGGGGGGCTCACACCCGTACCCCATGAGCAGGTAGATCAGGATGGTGACGGAGAGGAAGACGCCTCGATGGGAGGAATGTCGGCAGAGGAATAGCACGAGGTAGCACAGGAGGCTGAGCAGCACAACCCAGACCATGTGCAGCTGGAAGAAGTGGTAGAGGCTGAAAAACCCTCCTGCCACGGTGCTAGCGTGCTTCAGGTAGGATGGCAACCCTTCAGGGGAGAGAGACAGAGGCCAAGAAAGGGAGGGTGGGTGGGCTGGCAACAAGGGAGGGCAACCTGAGCAGAGGGCACAGCCTGGGAGTGTGGTGGGCTTGCAGGGGGCTCAGGGCAGGTGTTGAGGAGCTGGAGAGGTGGCAGGGCCTGGAATTATTTGTTTATTTTATTGATTGATTTGAGAGAGAGATGGGGGGGAGAGAGGGAGGGAGAGAGAGAGAGAGAGAGAGAGAGAGAGAGAGAGAGAGAGAGAGAGAGGAACATCGATGTGTTATTCCACTAATTTATGCATGCATTGGTTGATTCTTGTATGTGCCCTGATTGGGAATTGCATTGCAATCTTGGCATATGGGAACGATGTTCTAACCAACTGTGCTACCCGACCAGGACCAAATCCCAGGTTTGAAAAAAAGGAGCATCTAGAAAGGACATTTGGGAACCCTGGGAGAAATGTGAGTATCAATTTATATTGGGTAATATTATTGCATCCGGATTAGATTTCTTTGGGGGGGGGGTGATGGTTTCGGCTGTGGTTGTTGGGGGAAGTTGTCCTTGTTTTGGGGGGGATACACACTGATGCATTCGGGGTGAAGTGCCAGCAGGTTATTCAAATGATTTAGAAAGATGATAGATAGATAGATAGATAATAGAGCAGGCTAGTGTGGGAAGATGCTGACCCTTGGGAATCTGGTGATGCATATAATGGGTGTTCTTTGCATTATTCTTTCAATTTAACTTCAGTAACCGAAATATTTCAAAATGATAAGCCTAAGAAAAAAATAAAACATCCATTTAAAATAAAAATAGAATGTAGGACTTTTGAATTTCAGATTTCCAAAATTCTCAGCATCCTATAGGGACCTTGGGAACTTGGAGTTTTAGCATTCGGATGCCGGCTTGCTGTGAATGTGGAAACATTCCAGAATCCCAGCATTCAGAAATCTCATCATGCCCTGATTCTAGAAATCCATACTGCGAGCATTTTGGAAGCCTAGGATGTGAGAATTTCTACTTGTCAGCTCCCAAACCCTATAGTGTGGCACTTTGGGATTCCATAACCCTTTGACACCTGCATTGCCAAATCTTATAACGCTGGGATGTAGACATTCCAGGTCCCCCAAATCCAAAAACCTCAGCTTTCCAGAACCCTTGCACCCAGGAATACTAAAAGGCATGCCTTGGCATGGCTGACGTGGCTTGGCAATGTATGGCTGGGCATAGTGGGATGTGGTGTGGTAGCCTGGTGCTTCGCCTGGTGGGAGGGGGTGGGCTGGACATACCGGCGCCTGGCTTGGCCTGGCAAGATGCTGCAGGATAAGGTGTGGCTTGGTACTGGTGAATGTGGCAGTGGGATATGGCCTGGCATGGCGCATAGTGGGGCAGGCACTTACCGAGCCTCCAGAAGAGGCGGCAGGCGAGGCAGATGGCAAGGAGCAGCCAGATCTGGTCAAGGCCCTGCTGGGCAGTAGGCAGGAGACAGCCCTGCAGCAGCTGCTGGAAAAATTCCTGGCGGCTGAAGGTGGCCATCGCAGCCCCTCACGGATGGATGGACAGATGGATAGACCTGTCAAAGTGGGGACACAGAGCAGGGATGTCCATGGGGCAGACCATAGACTTGAGCGCTCAGATTTCAGTTTGGGGCTGTCCAACCCATTTCGACACACAGTGCTGGGGGGCGGGGGGACCAGGAGAGGGTGTGGGTGTCAGGTACATCAGCCTGAGCCGCCAGCTGTGCGTGTGGGAGCGTCCTGGGTGCACACACACAGCCCATGACCTGTGCTGAATGAAGGACCTGTGCCTCTCCTATGCTGTGAGGAGTCGGGTCCGATGGGGAATGAATGGTGTGCATTCCAGGCCGGTATATCAAATGGGGACGCTCTCTGGTTTCCAAGGTAGAGTCAGTCTGTGCGGAGGGCAGAGAGGGAGATCCTGTGACACTTGGGGGCCGTGTGCATCTCTCCTTGTACGGATGTGAGGGGTGTCCTGTATCCCCAGCGTGCCCCATCTCACCCCCGTCCGGCCACTCCCGGCCACCGAGAAAGCCCTGCCCAGGCCCCGGGGCTTCGGGGAGGTGGTGGTGGTGGCTGGGGACAGAGCCGAAGGGGGAGTCTGAAAGGTGATGGAGAGGGGACCCAAGAACACGCGCTGCAGATCGGTGCGGGGAGGCCGTCTCAGGATGGGAGCGGAGGAGCCGCGCGCGCACCCCCGTGACCTACCTGGCAGGAAGGAAGCTGCGGTCCCGGGGACCGGGGACGCACTGCCGCCGCCACCGTCGCCTCCTCCTCCGGGCAGCCTCCCCCGCAGGCCGCAAGGCCGGGACCAGCTGCGGCTGGGAGAGCAGCGCGGCGAGCGGGCCCTTTAAATCCCGGGGAGGCCCGGCCGGCCGGCTCGGCCAATGGGAGGGCAGGAGCGGGGCGGGGCCGGCAGAGGTGGTGGGAGGCGGGAGGGTCTAGGGAAGGAGGAGTGGGAGGTTGAGAGGAGCGGGGTGCTGCGGGGGACCTCTGCGCCAGCACCTTTGGGGCCCTGAGTGGTGCAGCCCCTGCCCGTCCTCGCCCGGAGGGGTCTGGCGGGCCCGGAACCGGCGCCTCCATAGCCAGATCCGCAATCCCGGGAGCCGCGATGGGGACGACAGGGGAGGGAGGGAGGAGGGAAAGCCCCTCACCTTGACTGCTCACCCACGCACGTTCTCGCGCCGTGCGCCTCGGCTCCCAGATGGGAAATGAGCCGAGCTCTGTCCTGCCCCATCCTTGGAGGGAACCGAAGGCATTTCCAACCCGCTCCCGCCCCGGGGACGGGCCCGAAACGTTCCTCCGTCTTGTCTGTGTCACCGAGGAACACCCATTAGGCGCCTGAGCTTCCCCTAGGGGACTCCCTGTGGGCACCGGGCTGGCGGTTGAGAACCGATTTGCTTGCTTCATTCCCGGGCCCGTACTGATTCACCTTGCACCCGGGGTGACCCCGGCGAGCAGTGCGTGAGCCAGGAGGCTGGATCGGAGCACCCGACCGATCCCCAGCATTTGGGAAGCGTTTACAAGCGTCCCCAACACTGCCCCAGCACAGGATTGACGCTGCACCTGCTGTCTGCCTCCCTTCCCCGCAGTGCTGGGCACCCCACTCGGTCCCCAGGCTGCTGAAGGGCCTGTTTTTCCCAAAGGCACAGTTTTTGCGCAGGTACTGCGCGCTCAGCTACGATGTGGAAGGGAGAGGGAAGCCCAGATCAAGCCGGACCCCCGCCGTCACCTGAGGAGCGAAGGAAAACAGGCTCTAATCAGATTAGTGCTTGCCTGCATGGGGCTGGGGAAGTCATGCCCACTCGCCTGGCTTTGGTATCCCTTTCGTTTAAACAAAAGAATGGGATTAGCACTTCTTTGCTTGGCAAGAGCGGTGGCAATGGGAGAGAAATGCGCGGCTCCTCTTTTTCACACGAATGTTGACGTGAAGCCAAGGGGAGTTTTCGCTCCTGAGTTCATATTCCTGTATCACAAGCAGGAAAAAATGGAACCCAGACACTGCAAATAAATTACATAGACCTGATTCGCCCATGCGAATCCCTCTTCTTCTTTATTTCTCTTCTTTTTGCTAATTCCCTTTCTTAAACGCAGAGTGCAGGCCATAAATTTCATAAAGTAGGATTCATTCTTATTTCCCCCCCCCCTCTATTTTCAGACACACTCAAGTAGAGTCAACAATGACCCACCGCACATGCCAGAAATATTTCCCTTAATTGCAAGTCTTGGTATTTCAAAACGGAAAGATCCTTACTATATGCCTCGCTGAGCTTCACAGACTTAATTGTTTCATTCTAGTCTTTTGATGTGCGTGATAAAGACCTGGTATCTAGATTCTGGGATGTATAAAGCACAGCTACAAATCAATCAGGGGAGGACAAGCACCATCCTAGAAAATGGACAGTGGATATGAGTAGGGAATTCACAGCAGAATCCCCATAAATGGCCAATATGTATAACCTGTGAGAAGATAACTCATTCTTTTTCGTAAGCAGGGAGATGCAAAATGAAAGCAAGAATTAGGTCCATTTCACATCTACCAGGTCCATTTCCTATTTTTGTCACTGGAGCTTAGTAGAGAGTGGCACTCAATAAATAGCTTTCAAATTGGATAGCTTTTGTGGTCATTCTGCATTATGGTTTCGGGGGCATTTTAAATGGTCTCTCCATAATAAAAGAGGGGCAAACGGATACAACGAGAGCATAGTTCTCACTTATTGGATTGGCAAAAATTGCCAAGCCTCATAATAACCACATTGTAGCTATCTATTTATCTCTATCCCTTTCTATATATTTTTCTAAACTGTTTGATCGGAGTTGCAGACACCATGGCCTTTCAGCTAAATAGTGAAGTATGAATTTCCCAACAAGGACATTTTCCTACATGCCTACCAGCAGTGTCTGAGGGCTCCGATATCTGCACATCCTCAGCACTTGTTATCTGACTTTTTCATTCTGGCCACCCCAGTGGGTGCGCCAGTAATGTGCCTCCATAGGAAAAGGAAATCCCGGGTCACATGCTGCCTGCTGTTATCAGGTCTTTTGAGCCTCCCTCCGTCGCAACAATGCCACACTCATCCCTTAACTTTCCTGATCTTTCACAAAGTCACAGGCCAATTATTTGGAAGAATGTCCTTCACTTTTGGGTTATCTGATATTTCCTCGGGGTTAGATGTGGATTCTGCATTTTTGGCAGGAATTCCAAAGAAGTGACCTATGTTTGTCTCAGTGTGTCCGGAGGCACAAGGTATTGGCTAGGTCCCAAATTGGTATTAGCTGTGGTGATTTGATCAAGGTGGCATC